AGCGAGAAGCGATACGATAGAAAAACCCACCGCAGCGTCATCAGGAGGGGAGGCAGGAGGCAGGCGAGGAGGTGAAAGGATTGGATAAGGGCTGAAGGGACTAGGTGATGTGTTGGGAGGGGGAGGTTAAGGTGGGAAGAGGCATGAAGCGAAGAGGGAGGACGGAGGAGGCATGTGGGCGGGGATGATGCGTGATTTGAAGAAGCAAGGATGACTACATAAAGAGCAGACTTCAAAAAATGATGGGATCAGAGGCTGAGGAAGCAACCTTGGCCGTTGCTATCGATACTATTCTCGGAGGGAAGAAAACGGGTCGAACGGGCTGTCTTTTCTTTGGTGGAATATCAAGTGGGGGACATCGCATCATGCTTTATCACACGCGTACATGAATTGCCTCCACACGCAGGGTCCATACACTGGTCGAACGGAATTTTTACCATGCCAGTCCGGAAACCGTAGCCAGCAGCTGCCTCTTGTCACAGTGGGAGTATATTATAGATAACAAATCTCTATCTTGATGTCTTTCGTGCACACCTCGTGCATACTCACAGTGGGAGTATGCTATTGACGACAGGTGTATTACTTAACGTCTTGTTGTCTTTTATGCAAATCTCGTGCATACTTAGGCTTGACGTGATATCATCGCGGAGGAAGTGTTGATGGGACTTCAATGCTTAAGTATGACAAAGTGGTTACATTGGGAGAGCGACGCGTTCTCTCAAAGATGCGTCTCCAACACGAGGCATATAGATTCCATGTACTTCTTGTCGACAACCTCACAAAATGAAGAAAAAGGAAGATGGGCAGCAATCACTTTTTGAACAGCGCGGAGAAGGCTTGCGAAGGGCGAAGCTCTGCCCTTTGTGTCTTTCACCCAATCATTTCATGGCCATGCGCGCATAAGTACTAAACTTGTCGATTGATACGCACATGATGGAACAAGCGAGACATAATTCCTTGCACACACGCTTTTCGGGCGCAAGGAAGTGGCAAGAGACCATTTCCGTTGTTCTTGTCAACATTGGAATGTTGCGTTGCACTTGTTCCTCCTATCGTTGGATTTAGATATCCGGTAGAAAACAACGCCGACCTCATGGCAAGTCGATGATACAGCTTATCTATGCATTTTAGCTGTCAGCGCAGGATTGACATTGTTGCTTGATCTTCGCTTTGAATGCTGCGTGAACGGATGCAGGGTTTGAGATTTTCGTGCATGTCTTCTTAGCCGTACGTCGTTCGGGCTTTACGAGACATAATTATTTTGAAAGGAATCTAAACCGAAGGCGTCATCGCAACATTCAAAGCTTGCCTAAAAAGGCTCTTTCGATCCTTTCTGAACGCCCAACCAAAGAAAAGCTAGCATAAATGAAGTTTCATATTGATTACTTTGTCAAAACCTGCGTTGAAGATGATAATGGTGTTGTAAAGCAAGATCATAGCGCTCAAGTATTAAGGAGAGACAGCATCGCGCTGTTGAGCAGAATAAGCAAGCTGCCAGCAAAAAAAGCCATGTAGACCACAGATTTCACCAGAACCAAAGCAATACAGCATCCATTGTCATACATCAAGGACCCAGTTTGCTTGCGGCCATGCTTCTTCGCAGGAAATTCGCAGGACTGGATTATTTCCGCTTTGGAAGTGTTCGCTCTTTAATGTTCGGCCAAGTGAATCTTGGCCCGACGGCTACTTACGCCCCTACAAACAATCGAATCTCGTCCAAGGAAGCTTTAATCTTGTCCATGCGGTCGGACAATGCCATGCATTAAATGAATTGAATCGTAATCATGTGGTGTAGACAGTTACATTTTGGAGGAGGGAATCGAATCATGATTGATGCTTGAATGTGCTGAAAGGCTCCCTGTATGGCGTTGATTATCTCCGGACAAGCGTGGAAAGATGTTGCAGAAGTCATGGATTAAGATTTAAGCCCTCCTAAACGTTGTCGTCCGAAGGAAGTGATCATCGTCGACAAGGACTTTGCAAGGATCGGGGAAATAAATTTACCCTTCCATGATATGCAATCCCGTCGCCTCGTATTGTCTTACGGTCATGAGTTCAGGCACCAGTTGTTGAGCGGTTCGTTGCTTCTAGTGACCAGGGTGTGACGAATTTGCGTCGTAATAGCATCATCCGCCATGTTTGAGTGTGACAAACGTGACTGACTTGACAGCTTGCGTGGCCTGGGGAGGCTTGGGCGTCGAGCACAGGGAATAGAGAGACTCGTTGATGCTGGAGGGGGGGTTGAGGTTGACTTGTATTCACCACCACTCATACCCTATGCGTGGTTGCCTTAAAGTCTTGAAAGGTACATCGCATACACGCAAAATAGATTTTGATCGCCTCGCACATGTCCTCTTTCATCCATTTTTGTTGGGTTCTAGGAGGCAACGGCTTGGGCGCCACAGCTCCATTATTCCCTCCACCCCGAGACTTGCGCTTCTGTATCAAACAGTTGCGCCGTGCTCTGGCTGCCAGAGGTTTCAAGTTACATACATTCTCAGGTTCTGAAACCGCTGCAGCCTCTTGGAGGGATATAGGAGGATGTTCGCCCAATTTGCTTGGATTGTTGGTAGGTGATGAGGAGGGGGGAGGAGGAAAGATGATAGATGCGGGTGAACTTTGGATTGTACACTGAGAAGGAGAGGAAACCAATGGACACGTGCTCAATGCTCATGGACATATTTATGCATGTATTTCCTTCCTTTTTGGCATGCACGGCAGTGTACGGGGCTCTGGGCGCTTTCGGCTTCGGCTGGGGGACAGGAGCGAACGATGTGGTGCGTTGGGAGGGTCTCCTTTTTCCATATATACGTAAATATATATATATATATATACACACACACATATATATATACATGTGTGCGTTTATGTATATATTCTTCTCGCATGTACTTGCCTGTGACTTGCCTTCCCTTTCTTGTCAGGGAAAGGAGTGGGAAAAGAAAAAGGCAGGAAACGTGTTGTTCGTGTGCCCTTCTCGCATATCTCTGGGGGGAGACTTTTGGGTCATCAGCATCGTACTGGCATCGCTTTTTCGTGGGGCGGCTTCATTGTGCTTCTCGATGCTTCCACACACCCGTGTCCTAGTTATTTATCCATTCAAATATCCGTTACCCCGTCCGTTTTTCCATCCAGGGCAATGCGTTTGGGACCTCGGTGGGAGCAAAGACGTTGACCATGATCCAAGCCTGTACGATTGCGGCAATTTTTGAGTTTGGAGGTGCCATGGTCTTGGGGCGGGTGTCGACGCAAACGATCGCCGGGAGCATTGCCAATCCGGAGGAGTTTCAGGATAATCCGATGATTTACG